GGTGGGTCTGATGGCTGTCAGGGAGGCCCATAGACATCCAGGGGCTTAATTGTCTCTATGTGATGCAATGCTTCAGTGGTCATGTTTCATGTCTACTTTCATATTCCACTTCTGGACCTGGTTCCTCTTTTTCTTAGAAGGTAAAATCAGTAAAAGTAACATAAATATGAATGTCTTGACAAGTACAGAACAGCGCTGACTAATTATGCTCCTTCCCTTGTTTTGGCTTCTTGAGAGTCCTGGGCCCCTACCTAGATGACACGTGATGTACTTTGACCCTATCACTGACCACCCATCCCTTGCCTACCTACCCTGCCCCCAGCTTTGTAGTCAATAAAAGTCAGAGTGTGCGGACACTCGGGGCCATGGCCGGACTCTGCACTTTGGTTGGCAGTGGACTGCTGGGCCCAAACTCTCTTGCTCCCGATCTCAGTGTCTTGTGACTATTTCCAGTCTCTCGTCTCCACACCACTAGAGAGGGGCTCACAGGACCCTGTAAGGCTGGACCCTACATCTGGCGCTCCAACCTGGGTTTCTCTCTTGTGTGAATGTACGCATTGTGCGTGGAAGCAGAGGATCTTTAGGTGAGAAATTCCTGAGGACTGCGATTAATAAGCTTCTGGTAAACTTAGGTGCCTCAGACGAATCCAGGGCAATCGTGGACTTGGCTCCAGCTCTGAGATAAGAATGGGCGGGTTCGGAAGCACAGATAACTGTGGTAAACCTGCCTACTGGGCGAGTGTCATTTCTGACAATCGTCCCGTCCTGGTTATATTCAGGGCAAAAAGTTTTCTGGAATGTCTGATACGGGGGCTGACTGCTCTGTTATTGCGTTGCATGAGTGGCCTCCTCATTGGCCCAAAGGAATTACTTCCACCGGTTTAGTGGGTGCTGGTCAAGCTTCTGAGGTTGATGTCAGCTCTCCCATTTTGAATTGTATAGGCCCTGACAGACAGTCGGGTACTGTCTATCTTGCAATCACTCCCACTCCAGTCAATCTTTGGGACTGCGATCTCGACAACAGTGGGGGGCACAAATCTCTTTTACACCTGTTTCCTATAGCCCACAGAGCAGAAACATGGTGTCTAATATGGGCTATGTCTAAGGACAGGATTAGGACAAACAGCACAGGGAATTGCAGAACCTGTTCAACCTTCTTATAAGTTTGACACTACCAATCATGGCTATTCTTAGCAACGGTCACTCTCAAGCCTCCAGATCCCATTTTGCTTACATGGAAAACAGATAAATTGATTTGGGTCCATCAGTGACTACTGTCTCAACCTAAACTGGAGGCTCTCCATGTTTTGGTTTCTGAACAGTTAGAAAAGGGGCACATTGAGGAATCTTTTTCTCCATGGAATTCACCTGTATTTGTAATTCAGAAAAGATCTGGTAAATGGTGAATGCTAACTGATTTAAGAGCTGTTAATGCAGTTATTCAACCTTGGGTGCTCTACAACCTGGCCTGCCAACTCCCACCATGATTCCTGAGTATTGGCCTCTTATTGATCGTAAGGATTGTTTTTTGTAAATATTCCCCTAGCAGCTCAGGACTTTGAGAAATTTGCCTTCACTGTTCCTGCTCTTAACAATGTCGGTCATGCAGCATGGTATCACTGGAGAGTTTTCCCGCTGGGTATGATTAATAGCCCTAGTATTTGCCAGTCATTAGTTGGCTGCGTGTTACACCCTGTTCGGGAACAGTTCCCTCAATGCTATATTTATTAATTCCCTGGACAATATCCTTTCTTCTACTCCAGCATGTTTGGTTTTAATGTACTGTTTCATGGCCATTCAACAGGCTATCACAGAGGCAGGTCTGGTCATTGCCCCTGAGAAAATTCAAACTTCTTTCCCTTTTCAATATTTGGGCATACAATTAGAAGAAAAAGTTATTAGACCTCAAAAGGTTCAGCTTAGAAGCAGCTCCTTTAAAACTTTAAATGATTTCCAAGAATTTCTTGGGGATATTAATTGGATTCAGCACTCCTTGGAAATTCCCACCTATGTTATGTCAAACCTCTTTTGTAGTTTATGACGAAATCCTGACTTATGTAGCAAAAGATCTTTAACTCCTGAGGCAGAGTCTGAGCTGCAGCTAATTGAAAGCAAAATCCGACAAGCACAGGTTACTCGTGTTAGGCCCCAGTTACCCTTTGTGTTATTCTCCCACAGAAATTATTACTCAGAAACAGGATTTGACTGAATGATGTTTTCTTCCACACAGTTTTCTGAGAATGCTTACTGTTTATTTCGACCAAATTTCTGTTCTGATTGGACAGGCTCACACCTTAAAATTTCTAGCCAGGAGCTTTATAAAGTTGTTCCCTTAAATGACAGGTTTGCCAAGCTTTCACTCACTGTGTCACTTGGCAAGTAAATTTTGCTAACTTTCCAGGAATAATTGACAATCGTTGCCCTAATGTTAAGCTTTTTCGCTTCCTTAAACTAACATCCTGGATTCTGCCCAACATTACTGCACAAGCTCCACTGCCTGAAGCCATGACTGCTTTTACTGATGCTTCCTCAATGCTCATGCGACATATACAAGACCACTAGAGTGAGTGGTTCGTACTGGTTCTGCCTCAGCCAAGCATCCTGAGATTATAGTGGTTATGACTGTACTTCAAGATTTTCCTGAACCAGTTAATATTGTCTCTGATTCAGCCTATGTGGTACGTGTTGCCCAGAACACTGAGACTGCTCTGATTAAGTTTTTGCCTGATGATGATGTGCTTTCACTTTAAAAAAAAAAAAAACAATTCCAGCCAACGCTTCGAGCATGATCTTCCCCTTTCTATATTACTCATATTCGTTCTGATTCTCCTTTGCCAGGGCCTCTGTCAGCAGCCAGTGCTAGAGCTGATGCATTAGTCGCTTCTGCAATTGATTTTCATGCGGTAACTCATACTAATGCGGCGAGTTTAAAAACAAATTACCCATTACTTGGAAACAAGCTAAATCTACTGTCCAACAGTGTCCTTCTTGTCAGCTGTTAGTTTGACCGCCACTTTCCTTTGGAGTTAACCTTAGGGGACTTTCTCCTAACACTCTTTGGTAGATAGAAGTTACCCATGTTCCCTCTTTTGGTAGACTCTCTTTTGTGCATGTTACTGTTGATACCTTTTCTCATTTAATGTGGGCTACTTGCCAGACAGGAGAAAGCACCACCCACCTGAGCCTCCCAAAGTGCTGGGATTACAGGTTAGAGCCACCGCACCTGGCTGTATGTCTTAAATCACTTTGATCAATGTTTGTAGATTTCATGGTACAAATTTCTCAGCTTTTTACATTGATTCCTAAATATTTCTTACTTTAGGTTCTCTAGCAAATAGAAGTATTTTTTTAAATTTTCTTTTAAAATTGTTTATTGTTAATGTGTGGAAGTTCACCTAATTTTTGGTGCTGATATGGTATTCTGCAAATACACCAAATGCGTTTAGTAGTTCCAGTAGTATCTTGGTTGACTCTTTGTGATTTTCTACACAGAAGATTATGTCATTTACAAACACATATAATTGTACTTCTTTCTTTCTGATTTGGAGAGCTTTTATTTCTTTGGCTATTTAATTGCTCTGGCTAA